TGAGCAGTTTGTCTCTCATCAGGCTCTGCCCCTATCTAGTCTAGGGGGTGTGTCAAACATATTTGTGTATGTTTAGTAGACTACATAGGGTCTTGCCATAGAAAGTACAACCAACTAGCTATATACGGTACTTTTGTATTCTTTCATTCTAGTCATTCGTTCTGACTCTGAGACCTAGCTAGACTATAACATATACAAATTATATGTTGACAAACTATACCACAAGTAGTAGGACAGCGGCTTCTGTAGCCTGGGGTGGGGTATCAGAAAGAAAAATTGAACCAGAATGTGTGAGTACAAGGGTATATAGACTAGGGTGCTGTACCCTCTAAGGCACAATCCAGTATAGTCTACAGTAAAAACCTAAGTCACATTTGACACACCCCCTAGACTATATAGGGGCAGTCCCTAACAGGGAAAGAAGCAGCTCAGGGCAACACTACTAGTCCAGCCTCTGAGGCAAGGGTCTAAAGACCAGTCAAAGGAGTACAGACAAGACAAGAGCAAGACCAGGGCGGCACTACTAGTCCAGCCACTGGGAGAGGCCACAAGGCCATTCAGGGTAAAATATATATATAAAGGAGAGTACAAAGTCAAGGCCCTAGCAAGTGAGACGCTACAGGAATGAGACCTAGCTGTACACAGTGCCGCAAATGATCTTTAGGCGCAAGCGCCTTCGTAAAGATATCAGCTGTGTTGGCACCGGAGGCCAAGTGTACTATGCGCGCCTGGCGGCGCTGCTGGAGCTCACGCAGGAGGAAGTACCGCAGCTGGATGTGCTTCGCTCTGCCCTCGAGGCTCCTGACACAGGAGGATCATGGCCCTGTTGCCAGCGTACAGGACCGGGTCACAGACGAGGAGCGGGTAGCTCTCCACGAGACAACACCTGAACCAAGGCTGAAGCAGTATCCCTGCGAGGACCTGAGGGTCTTGGCATCGTCTGCCCAAGAAGCATCTGTGTGTCCAGTAAGGACCACTGGCCTACGTCCTCCTAGCACTAACCCCATGCCCGATGTACTTGCAAGATAACGCAAAACCCTCTTAGCGGCAGACCAGTGGTGAGGTCGGTGTCTGCCTGGAGCCACAAAGCGAGCCAGGATGCTGAGAGGGTATGCGAGATCTGGGCGAGTGCAAGTCATCACATACATGAGGCGACCCACCAGCTCTGCGTAAGAACCACTGGGCTCTGCTGACTCCTCAGGAACTAGAGCCGAGAGCATGTGGTCTAGAGGCAGAGGAGTGGGCTGTGCGGAGGAGAACTGAAGGCCGAACCTCTGAAGGACCTGGCGCACCAAGTGTGACTGAGTCAAAGTGATAGTGCGCGCTGCTCTGTCCCTGGAGATCTACAAGCCAAGGTAGTGGCGCAGTTCTCCAAGGTCATTGCAGGTGTGTCTCTTCAGCAGCTCTGCCTTCACGGAGGCCAGTGCGTCCCTGTCTGCTGTGGCGAAGTCCAGGTCGTGTACATAAACAAGGATATAGAACGGGGTCTGGCGAGGACGGAAAGAACTGCAGGTCTGCAAGCGTAGCACGCAGCGTGTCGTGCCACTCACGAGGAGCCTGCCGCAGGCCGTAGACGGGGCGCCGCAGGAGCCAATGGGTCCCAGGAGGGAAGGTACTAGTGAAGCCCTGAGGGCGGCGCAGGTAGACCTGCTCGTGTAGACTGCCCTGAAGAAACGCAGTGGAGAAGTCGAGGGAGTGAAGCTCGTAGTCATGCTGAGCTGCTACGTATAGCAGCACTCGAAGAGTAGTCATCTTCGGGGTCGGAGCGAAAGGCCTGGAAGAAGTCCACCCCCTCACGCTGACTTAAACCTCTAGCCACGTAGCACGCCTTGAACACTGGCGGCTCTCCAGGAGGGCACTTCACCTTGAAGAGCCAGCGGCCATCGAATTCGTTCATCCCATGTGGGGAAACTGCGTCGACGTAGGTGCCGGTGGATCTCCAAGTTGCCATCTCCTGCTCCATGGCAGCTATCCACTGAGAGGCCTAGGGTCCCGAGACCGCCTCAGGGTAAGTGCGAGGGGTCGGGATGTCGAAAGCGTCGGGGTCACCCTCAGGGACTAGAAGCATGGAACAGAGATGGGGAGCAGCCTCGGACAGGAAAGCAAGCTCGTACTGGTGGTCCTCCAGGACGTCACTGCCGAGGGCAGGAGCACCCCCGAGAGACGGAGGACAGGCAGGGTCAGAGACTAGAGCGGTGGCGTAGTTAAGGCAGCGGGTAGAGGCAAAGTCAGCGACCGCAGCGACAAGGGCGTCAAGGCTCAAAACCGGAATAGACGGGTCGGTAACGAGAGAGGCAAGGACCCGAGGAACAAGAGGACGAGCGGCACGCAGGTAGTCAGACAGAGGGGGGGGAGCAACGACAAGGGAGGAAGGAGGGGGTGACGGGAGAAGGGGAGGACGAGACGCATAGGAACGAAGCAACATAGGGTGAGAGCGGGAGACAGGGGAGACAGGTCGAGCACGGGAGGGACGGCAAGACCAGACGTGAGACGGAGGAGTCGGGTCAGGAGACAGAGGAGGGGACACAAGAGGGGAACGAGGGGGAAAACGGGCCGGAGAGGAGTTCGGAGGAGGGAACACAGGGCCGTAGACAGGAGGAGGAGGAGGCACAGGCACGGGGTCAGGGGACGGAAGGCCGAGCAGACGAAGAGCAGACACCGGTGGGGACTGCTGCGGCGGCGGTGTGATACCGACACCGGGACCGCAAGCTGCCTAGCGGCTACCTCCAGAACACTCCACGCCAGCACCCCCAGAAGGAACACCCCCAGAGCTCAGAACCCCTCAAGCACCGGTACCACCCCCAGACCCGCCGGGACAAGTCACGACAGGAGTCCCAGGACTAGTACCCACCCCAACTCCAGCACCCCCAGAGGCAACGAACTGCTGCGGCGACGGCTGCGGCGGCGGCGGCTTCAACGACGGCTGCGGTGGCGGCGGCGGCGGCGGTGACGATGGCTGCGACAGCGGTGGCGACGGCGGCTGTGGAGGCGGCGGAGGAGGAGACACCTGAGAAGGGGCAGGCGGCGAGGATTGTGCCGTAGGACCACCAAAGTCAGCAGACTCCTCAACCGGGACAACTGACGTAAGTGGGGTGACGTGGGACACACTAGAGGGGGCAGGACGGGGAGGGGGAGGAGGAGGGGCGGCGACGACCGGGGAAGGGGTGACCAGGAACAGGGGGGGGGTAACCGGGGGAACTCGGTGGGGGAAGTGGCGGAAGAAGGAGACGGACTCGTCAAAGGTGACGTCACGGGAGTGAAAGAACCGGGGAGACGGCGGGTGGTAGAAGTGCCAGTCAGACGCGTCAAGGGGGAAGCCGAGGAAGACACAGGGAAGGGTGCGGGCAGTGAGCTTGTCCGTGCCAGAGGCACAAACGTGAGCAAGGCAGCCCCAGATGTGGAACGCAGTCGCGTCACCAGGTGACCCAGACCAGAGGAGGGTCGGCGAAACCTGAGGCTGCTGGGGGTGCGGCCACAGGTTAAGCTGGTGAGCGGCGTAGCGAACGGCGAACGGCCACAGAAAATGGGGTGCTCCGGCATGGATCATGGAGGTGCGAGCCACCTCCATGACCAAACCGATGCGTCGCTCAGCGACCCCATTCTGCTGCGGGGAGTCCGGCAAGGTGAACGTCTGGGTGATGCCCTCCGCACGACAGAAACGACGAAGGACACCAGAGGCAAACTCGTCACCACGGTCGGAGTGGAGACGCAAGACAGGGAGACCGCGGTGGACACGCGCAGAGACAAGCCACGGGATAAGAACGGCAGGCACGTCAGCCTTCCGCTTTAGGGGGAACACAGTGGTGTAGTCGTCGACAAGCACTAGGAAGTAGCGCTCTCGACGCGGCCCATGGACGGGGGCGGGGCCCAAGACGTCCATGTGCAGAGTCTGTAGCGGTGCTGCAGTAGGGGGAAACGAGGAGGAGTGAGGGGCACGGCGGAGCCGGCCCTCGACACAGGGCGTGCAAGGTGGGGCTGGGGAGGAGGGAAACTTGGGGAACGACCCGAACCCGAGGCGGCGGCGGGCTGGCGACGATGCGAATGCAGGAGCCGGTCGGCGAACGGCAGACGCGAGGGGCCAGCAAATGGCGGCAACGAGGGCCGGCGAGGAGCTGGCGCGACGGCGAGTAGGGCCGGCCACGACGGCGAGGAGACACGGCCGCGACGGCGGCCAGGGTTAGCCGCGACGGCGGCTAGGGGCGGCCGCGACGGCAGGTTTGACCGTGAGGCGGCTGGAGACGGCAGCGACAGCAGCTAGGGGCGGCCGCGACGGCGAGGGGGCGGCCGTGAGACGGCTAGGGGCGGCTGTGGGACGGCAGGAAACGGGCGCGATGGCCAGGGGGGGGGGCGGCTAGGGACGAGCGCGACAGCCTGGGGGCCGGCTAGGGACGGAAGCGACGGCCAAGGGGCCGGCTAGGGGCGGACGCGACGGCCAGGGGGCCGGCTAGGGGCGGACGCGGCGGCCAGAGGGCCGGCTAGGGGCGGACGCGACGGCCAGGGGGGCGGCTAGGAACGAGCGCGACGGCCAGGGGGCCGGCTAGGGACGAGCGCAACGGCCAGGGGGGGGGGGGTGCGGCTAGGGACGGGCGCAACGGCCAAGGGGCCGGCTAGGGACGGGCACGATGGCCAGGGGGCCGGCTAGGGGCGGACGCGACGGCCAGTGGTCCGGCTAGGGGCGGACGCGACGGCCAGGGGGCCGGCTAGGGACGAGCGCGACGGCCAGGGGGCCGGCTAGGGATGAGCGCAACGGCCAGGGGGGGGCCGGCTAGGGACGGGCGCGACGGCCAGGGGGCCGGCTAGGGGCGGACGCGACGGCCAGGGGCCGGCTAGGGGCGGACGCGACGGCCAGGGGGCCGGCTAGGGACGAGCGCGACGGCCAGGAGGGCCGGCTAGGAGCGGGGCACGACGGTGGCTAGGGCCTAGGGGGCGGAAGCGTGGGCGGGCTAGGGGGAACCTAACCTACTGTGATACCATATCAGAAAGAATAATTGAACTAGAATGTGTGAGTACAAGGGTATATAGACTAGGGTGTTGTACCCTCTAAGGCACAATCCAGTATAGTCTACAGTAACGACCTAAGTTACATTTGGCATGGGGAGCTAATATGTGCAACCAAGCAGCAGCACACAATGCTCCAACAGAGGTGTGTGCTTTGGGCCATATCGGACAGAATATATTTGTACAACAGCAAACCCCGCAAACACACAACTGCTAAAAAACAAGAACAAGGCGTACCAGTAGGAGGCAATGCCAAAGAATTGCACCATATCTTACGGTACAACACCAAGAACGAGTACCGAACATGGTGGTGGCCACATTCATCCTAGAGCAGGAGGTGCTCTAAGCATGTCCATGAACTTGATTGCCTGCCATTGTGGGTGTGAGAAAGGACACAAGAGTTACAGACACATTCCCGGCATGAGTAAAAGCCAGAGATACAGCAGCCAGCAATAAGATAGAAATGTTCAGGTGGCCAGTTATTGAGGGACCATGGGAGGTGAGGGTGGTAAAAGAAAGCAAAAAGCGATGCCGGAGGGAGGAGAGGAGGTGACTCTTCTCACTGCTCACCTTTGCCTTGGCTTTCCCACTTCCGTTGACAGCCACCTGCTTCACAGCCCCTTCCACGCCAATCCTCGCCACCTCCCATCTGCAAGCCAGGCTGCCCCCCACCATTGCCATCAGCCCTGCTACAGCGCGCTCCACACACGTGTCTGAGGGCCCCCCTGCGCGCACCACTCCCACCAGCACTTCCATCCCCCCTCTCCGCTGCACCTCCGCCCTGCCCTCCTCGTTATCTGCCAGCAGCGCCAGCACTGCCAGCGCCCTCTCAGCAGTAGCCACAGCGTCATCCTCCGCCCGTCCCATCCTCTGTGCGCTCCTCTCTGCACCCCTCAAACCACCGCCGCCGCTGCATGTGAGGTGAGAGGCCGCAGCATGAGCGATCAGCTCGAGCAGCAGCGGCACCGCGCCTGCATGCACCAGGCGCGGCCGCACTGCCGCCACTGACGCCAGGCTCTGCAGCGCCGCTGCCGCCTCCCTCCGCCCTTTGCGGCTCTTGCTGCTACTGCCCTGCGGTCCAGCAGCGCCACCAGCAGCAGCAGCGGGATGATCAGGAGCGTTAGTGGCATCTGAGAGGAAGTGCACGAGAGCCTCTACGCCCCCCGAGTACGCCATGTGCAGCCTGATAGCGTCGCTCAGCTTCGACAGCGACAGAAGCGCCACTGCCGCGTTGGCGCGTGTGGACGCGGACGCGGACGCGGACGCGCAGCAGGCGCACGCGGGCGCGCACGAGGGGGAGCGCGCGGGGCACATGAGGCGGATGAGCGGGGGGATGGCGCCCGCCTGGCAGATGGTCGCCTTCATGTCGCGCGTGATGCTGAGATTCACCAGGCACGATATCGAGTAGTCCACTAACGGACCCGCCAAACCCCGCTCGCGGCCTCCCTGCGCTGCCGCGTCGATTCCCCCCTCCGCGCACGGAGTGGTTCTAAGCCCACCGCCGAGCGACGTGTCAGTTCCCCCCGCCGCGGCGACTCCGCTGGGCGACGCGACAGGGATGTCGTGGGTGGCGGCGGCGGCGTGAGGAGCAGTGGCGGCGAGATTAACGATGGAGACGAGCGCGGGGATGACACCAACGGCCACGATTGCACTCCGCACGGCGTCGCTCTCCCGCGCCAAGTCTCGCAGCGCCCGCGCTCCGCGCACCTGCTCCGACTGGCTGGTTGCGGTGAGCTGGCGGAACGCGGCGCGCACACTGCCCAGCATATTCTCGCCCGCTCCCGCATTCGCCGACTCGGGAACGCTCTCATCCGCCAGTAACCCCCACTTTCTCGGCGAGCCGCCCTCGGGATCACCGCAGTCGCTGCCGCCGGCGTCGCTGCAGCTCCCCTTGATATCTTGCCCGGCCGTCGCGGTCCGCTCAAATCCCGGGCCGCAGTCTCTCCGCCCGCAATCTTGCAGCGCTTCCGCTTTACCAGCCGCGCAATCTCTCCGCCCGCTCGCCTTCCGCCGGCCGTTTTCCGCCTCTTCCCCGTCCCCGCTGCTCCCCGCGCCACCGCCGCCTTGCATGGTAACCACGCCGCGCGGGCTTGGCACCCCCGGGCTCGGCGTGCCAGACGGACTGCCGTCACACTCCAATTTTCGCTGCCGGTTGGCGGCTAAGCTTGCCGGCAGGTGCAGCAGGTCTCCTTCGGCCGGCGGGATGGGCGACGCGCGCCCGTCGAGTAAAGAGCCGTCGAGGTGAGAGGCAGAAACACATGTGGCGATGCGAGACGCGCCGCGCTCTGCTGCTAGTACCGCAAGCGCCACCGCAGCTTCATTCGCTTTAGACGCGTTCGCAGGCTGTAACACCGCGGCTTCGAACGGACCTTCGGTGGGAGGCGGTTCGACCGGGTCCGACAGCAATGCCAGCCACTCGATCACTTTGCGGTGCTGCAGAAGCTGCTGACGTGGCCACTCTGACGTCAGCCCGCTGCTGCTGCTGCTGCTGCCATGAGGCGACTGATGCTGCGTCGCCTGCATCAGCAGCAGCAGCGCTTCCGTGAGACGCGGCGACGGCGCGACACCGCTCGCTGGCACCGGCCCTACCAACCCTGCAAGGCCCGCAGAGTGCTCGAAATAAGAGGAGTCGCCGTGACGGTTGGAGTGACGGGTGTCGCCAAGACCTCGCGCAGAGGTGAGGTCGGCAGAGTCGGACGGGTGGAGCTGCGACTGAAGCTGCCACGTGTGCCGCCTCCGCAGATCTCCCACCTCGTTGTCGTTCTCGTTCTCGTCCGACCCGCGGTCTTCCTCGTCGCTCCTCGACTCCCGCGGCGAGTTCCCGGCGCCGCAACCGTCGGCGGCGCATTGGTCAGCGGGACATTCGCCGGCGCGGGAATGCGGCCGGTCTGCTCCTCGGGCTCCAACGCCCCGTTGCTGCGGCAGCGCGTGCGGCGGCGCTCCTCCCCGTGGCTTGAAGGATCTCTGCCGCTGGCTCTCCTCGTCCGATATGATGTCTACTCGTAGAGCTTCGGGCTGAAGCTCCTTTCGACGGCTATCACTGTGACTACTACAGCGATTCACTGGGACGGGGACTGGACGAGCACACAAGTTCGTTGTTCCTAGGAACGAGTTTGGACCAGCGTGAGAGGCGCCGCATTCAACGGTGAAGGACTTGCTGATGACACCGGAAGGCCAGTCGCCCGCGCATTCCGCCGACGGCTTGGAGCTCTCTCCGCCGCCGGCTATGGCGGTGATCCCGCTGGGCCCGCCGCCAATGCTGCGCAATCGCCGCTTGAATTTGCGCACCAGGTCCATGCCGCGGACGCTGCAAGCGGCGGGGGAGACGAGATGCAGGCTGATGCTGCGCTCACCCGCACGAGAGAAGTGCGGATGGTATCAGACGGCCGATGAAGCTGGCCAGATCATGTCTTGCACACACTTGAGTCGATTAAGGGCCAGGTATAGTTTCGGACCACACCCTGGTACAGCTCGCGTTGTACTATCCTGCTTATCCTGCTGGCTGACCCCTCGGACTGCGATTTAAATCCTACTAGATGCTATTGTACTAGTGGGCTTGGTCGGAGGATAAAAGATGTAGCTCTGGGACACAGCTGCTGGGACGAAAACAAGAGCAACACTACCGGAGTGAAAGCGGCTTCACATCACAAGCCTGAGGAAGTCGAGAGTCGAGATGTCCTGTCAATCTTGTTCACCCCCCAAGTTCAGAAATTCCGTCGCGTCGCGAGTGAGTCCAACCATGACATGTCAGAGCATGATTCCAAGCAGTACAGGTCATATGCTATTTGGTGCAACGATGACAAGCGCAAAGTTTTCACAGGGCCAATTCGATGGGCAGTGCAGAGCTCTGGTTGCAGTTCAACGGCCACTACAGTGTGTGGATTGTTCAGTTTCTTTTGTAGTAACCGTACAATACAGCATGGTCCTCCCTGGTCCCTCCTCTGAAACCAGTAATCAAGTGGTCCCCCATGAGTTTGTTGCGTTGAAGGTGTGATTCTTCTGTTCACAACTTCTCATCAGTGTCACGCGCTGGCAAACCGACAAGTCCTTCAGTAGCAAAAATGCTGCTTCTCAGGGAGCGTCCGCTAAAAACGTGTCACGCGTTTTTGTTCCCACGACCAAAGCTCCCAAGCCAGGTCAGGAGTCTCAACCTCGTGTCAGTATTTAACGAAAGTCCGCGATTTGTGTGTAACTCTATGAAACTTACGTAGCGGTGATTTGGGAAACTCGATCCGTTGCCTGGGGGTTTGACACGATGTTACGTAAACTAGAAACTGGCCCAGGTATCGAGCTCACACTACTTCCCCGAGGATCTTCGTGTGGATTTGTCCGGAATGCCCCAAACATTTGTTAGCAAGAACAGGCCTTGTCCCCCAAAAATTCAGGTTGTCGTTTGAGCTTGTCGTTTTCGTTGTCGTGCACTGCATCCCCAAAAAACAGAGGCTACTCTGTATGTTCTGGTCTGTATTTTGGGCAGTGAACTCAGCTTGGAAATGGCGTCACCCAAATAGGTCAAAGTGATCGGGGAGCTGTCGGTCAGGCCTCTCGCTAATAAGGTAATTGCCCTTAATTCCGGAAAATTGGGAGTAAAGTTTCCAGCGATTCCGTTTTTATGTTTGTTTGTGTTTTTTTTATACAGATTCGACAGTGATTGAAAGGACACAGTGTCCTCTATTCAGTAAATTAAGAGGACAGTGATTGAAAGGAGACGATTTTTTTAACACACTGTCTGATTCCGTCTGTTAACGGGTTCTCCAGAGACGATTCCGTCCCCTTCCGGAATACCCTGGGGCTTAGCGAGAGGCCTGCTGTCGATTGGTAGGGAAGAGTTTATGACGGACACCACACACCTAGGTTTGCGCACGCAGCAGGCCTAGTGGTTGTGAGTGCAAAGTGTTTAGAATGCAAGGGGAGTTTTTACTGTGGTTGGTAGTGGCTTTCCCGACCCCTCTTATTAGGGGTCAGTGATTATCGTGAACCTTTTCATGGGTTGGGAGAGCGGGGTTTATCCTTTCAATCTGTAGACACTGTCCTCTTCGATCAACATGGTGCTGCAATTCTGAGGTTGGTGAAACCACATTTCTGTCCATTACCACACCATCTCCACGGGGGCTGGCTTCTGCGGGAAGAGAAGACTGGCTTGTCTTGGCACCCAGAACTCAGGACTGGGGCTACACTCGCGCGGTCAAAACTTGTTTCATGTCGCCGCGACACTTGCACCCTCATGCCACCTCAGGCTCGAAGTGGAGCAAATTTTCCATCCCACTGTAATGTAGACTTTCATTTCATGAAATAATGCAAATAAATAGTATTTACATCCTTGTTTGCCATGCTATTGTACCACATCTATCCAAATCACATCACCCAAAAGTGGCCCTTTGTCGAGCTGCATGCAATTTGCGCTCTTTGCAGGTTCATGCTTATCAAGCTCACTCCCCGCCAATATTTGTATTGATGCAGCCATGACCGAGTTCGCAGTACCAGTGCACTGACGCCAGGGCTGACGTTTCAAAAAAGGCACTCTGATTTTGCCCCCCCAAAAAATTCCCGAGTCTGAAGGGCCATTTTTCGAAATTTAGCTACTCTGAAATCTCAGTGTCTAAAAGTCAACGAGTCTGAAATACCCAGGGTTCAGAATGTCGACTCAGAGTCCTACGCCCAAGTCGAAATCTTATATTTCCAGTGTTCACACCAGGCCCCACGACTGGTTTTAGGGTACCATGATTCATCAGCTTTTCGTCAAGAAAATTACGTGGATTCATCAGAGTTTCCTAGCAAAAAATTGCCTTTTCATTAGGGCGTGTTAAAAAAAAACTGATTTGGCAACTAGGAGAGAGGATTTCAGTTTTTTTTTTAAGTTGCATTCGACTAAGAGTAAATTCCGCATTCTAATAACAGTCGTTTCTATTAGGCGAAATTCTCGACAGCTGCCCATTTGGTCAACTGAAATTCTATAAAAATGTGACGGTCACGATCGATTGCGATCGTTTCGACATTTTTTAACCATTCGATGGTTGCAAGTAATAAACGTCCAAGATCGATCAACCGGGGCGCGATCCTCTCCCCTCCCCCTCAATTTTCGAACCCACCCCCCCCCCACCCCCCCCCCCCTCCCCCTCCGTCTCGCTTCCCCCTTCCCCTCCGTTTCGCTTCCACGCCTCCCCTCCGTTTCGAGCCCCCACCCCCCCCCCCCTCCCTTTCGTTCCCCCCTCCCTTCCCCCCCTCCTCCCCTCCATTTCGCTTCACCCCTTCCCTCGGTTTTGTCAAACATGTGTATTTGTCATGTTTGTATAGACTGTATAGAGTCACCTCTTAGAGGATACAAAACTTAGATATATTTGTGTGTACTCTCACTTTACCTTTTATTCAATTATTCTGATATGGTATCACGCGTAGGTAGGATCCCCCCCCCCCCACCTACCGCTTCCGCTCATGCTCCCTAGCGCCCCTCCTGGGCCCCGTCGCGCTCCTCCCAGGCCCCGTAGCGCCCCTCCTGGGCCTCGTCGCGCCCCTCCTGGGCTTCGTAGCGCCCCTGCCAGGCCCCGTCGCGCCCCTCCCAGGCCCCGTCGCGCTCCTCCCAGGCCCACTAGCGCCCCTCCTGGGCCCCGTCGCGCTCCTCCCAGGTCCCGTAGCGCCCCGTCGCGCCCCTCCTGGGCCCCGTAGCGCCCCTCCTGGGCCTCGTCGCGCCCCTCCTCGGCTTCGTAGCGCCCCTCCTGGGCCCTGTACCGCCCTCCCAGGCCCCGTCGCGCCCCTCCCAGGCCCCGTCGCGCCCCTCCCAGGCCCTCTAGCGCCCCTCCTGGGCCCCGTCGCTCTCCTCCCAGGCCCCGTAGCGCCCCGTCGCGCCCCTCCTGGGCCCCGTAGCGCCCCTCCTGGGCCTCGTCGCGCCCCTCCTGGGCTTCGTAGCGCCCCTCCTGGGCCCTGTAACGCCCTCCCAGGCCCCGTCGCGCCCCTCCCAGGCCCCGTCGCGCTCCTCCCAGGCCCCCTAGCGCCCCTCCTGGGCCCCGTCGCGCTCCTCCCCGGCCTCGTCGCGCCCCTCCTGGGCTCTGTCGCGCCCCTCCTGGGCCCCGTCGCGCTCCTTCCAGGCCCCGTAGCGCCCCTCCTGGGCTCTGTCGCGCCCCTCCTGGGCTCCGTAGCGCCCCTCCTGGGCCCCGTCGCGCCCCTCCTGGGCCCCGTAGCGCCCCTCCTGGGCCCCGTCGCGCCCTCCTTGGGCCCTGTAGCGCCCCTCCTGGGCCCCGTCGCGCCCCTCCCAGGCCCCGTAGCGCCCCTTCTGGGCCTCGTCGCGCCCCTCCTGGGCTTCGTAGCGCCCCTGCCAGGCCCCGTCGCGCCCCTCCCAGGCCCCGTCGCGCTCCTCCCAGGCCCACTAGCGCCCCTCCTGGGCCCCGTCGCGCTCCTCCCAGGTCCCGTAGCACCCCGTCGCGCCCCTCCTGGGCCCCGTAGCGCCCCTCCTGGGCCTCGTCGCGCCCCTCCTGGGCTTCGTAGCGCCCCTCCTGGGCCCTGTACCGCCCTCCCAGGCCCCGTCGCGCCCCTCCCAGGCCCCGTCGCGCCCCTCCCAGGCCCTCTAGCGCCCCTCCTGGGCCCCGTCGCTCTCCTCCAAGGCCCCGTAGCGCCCCGTCGCGCCCCTCCTGGGCCCCGTAGCGCCCCTCCTGGGCCTCGTCGCGCCCCTCCTGGGCTTCGTAGCGCCCCTCCTGGGCCCTATAACGCCCTCCCAGGCCCCGTCGCGCCCCTCCCAGGCCCCGTCGCGCTCCTCCCAGGCCCCCTAGCGCCCCTCCTGGGCCCCGTCGCGCTCCTCCCCGGCCTCGTCGCGCCCCTCCTGGGCTCTGTCGCGCCCCTCCTGGGCCCCGTCGCGCTCCTTCCAGGCCCCGTAGCGCCCCTCCTGGGCTCTGTCGCGCCCCTCCTGGGCTCCGTAGCGCCCCTCCTGGGCCCCGTCGCGCCCCTCCTGGGCCCCGTAGCGCCCCTCCTGGGCCCCGTCGCGCCCTCCTTGGGCCCTGTAGCGCCCCTCCTGGGCCCCGTCGCGCCCCTCCCAGGCCCCGTCGCGCCCCTCCCAGGCCCCGTCGCGCCCCTCCTGGGCCTCGTCGCGCCCCTCCTGGGCTTCGTAGCGCCTCTCCTGGGCCCCCCGTCGTGCCCCTCCTGGGCCCCGTAGCGCCCCTCCTGGGCCGCGTCGTACCCGTCGCCGCCGCTCGGCCCCGTCGTGCCCGCCCGGCGCCGTCGCGCCCGCCCGACCCCGTCGCCGCCGCCCGGCCCCGTCGCGCCCGCCCGGCCCCGTCGCGCCCGCCCAGCGCCGTCGCACCCTGCCCGGCCCCGTCGCGCTCGCCCGGCCCCGTCGCAGCCGCCCGGCCCCGTCGCACCCTGCCCGGCCCCGTCGCAGCTGCCCGGCCCCGTCGCACCAGCCCAGCCGCCGTCCCGCTCGCCCGGCCCCGGCGCACCGGCCCGGCCGTGCCGCACTCGCCCGGCCCCGTCGCCCCAGCTCGGCCCCGTCGCGCCCGCTCGGCCCCGTCGCCCCGTCTCGGCCCTGTCGCACCAGCCCGGCCCCGTCGCGCCCGCCCGGCCCCGTCGGGCCAGCCCCGGCCCCGTCCTCCTCACTGGTACGGTTCCCCCCCCCCCCCCCCCCACCCCGCCCTGCTCCGTGCCGCCCTGCACCGCACTGCAC